AAGACTGCTGTGTTTATGTATAAAGCCAGGAACAATTTATTACCTGGTGGAATTCAAAAACTATTTAATGAAAGGGAAGGGGAATACAATCTAAGGGGTCAGTTAAATTATAAAACTCATGCTATATGTACAACCAAAAAAAGATTCTGTATTTCAATAAGTGGAGTAAAGCTATGGAATAATTTAAGTATGGACATAAAAAACAGTAAGAAAATTGATGAGTTTAAACACAGATATAAAGGTATGTGTCAATCAAGATATGGGCAAGAACAGGCTCAATGATAATCAGATGGGAGTGTGGATGTAGAATATGTATCCATGTAGTAATACTGTTTGCAAGCCAATGATGATAAAATGATGTCATGGGGTAGGACTGGATAAGTCTAACTTCTTCCTACTCCGTTCAAGCATGTACTAGGTACTAGGTATAAGCAAATTGAAAATATTTTTTGTGGATATGTCTGGAATTATGTGTGATTACATACTGACTGTTGTTACATGTTTGAAAGAATAAATAAATCAAATCAAATCAAATCAATGTTAGTTTGCTGGTATCTGATTTTACTAACAAAAACTAAATATTTGCTCAGATTAAGCTGATATTATGTTCAACACATTCTAAAGGTATAAAAAACTTCCAGCTGTGCATATGATGCATGTCAGATTACGTCACATGGACACTGTATGTAAAACACATAATAAAGATTATGGACTTGGGTGTACTTCATTTCAATTATTTGTATGTTTTTGTCCAAACAAATACCTTTGGTAAACTCCCTGCTCAGTGAAGTATAAAGCCTTTGACACTTCGCACTTGAAATTTGCCTGAATATGTTGAAGCTTCACATCGAGCAGTTACTTCCTCTTTTCTCTCATAATGTCAGTGACACTTAACAAATTGTTTTTTTGTCTTTGTTATATTCAGTTGCCATCACTGGATTAAGTCACATTGCAGCAAGAGCAAAAATTTTTCATTGGAAATGAAACCAGCAAATGCATTTCTTAGAAGAATGTTGGAAAGGAGCTGAACAGAAATGATGATGCTGTCAAAATGCATGGTAAGTTCCAGTTTCTATTTATATGTTTCAAAACATATTTGTGACCTATAGCTGGACTAGGAAGAATTCATGGATATCATGAATAGTTTGTGTGTCTCGTTTCAGGCTTGTTCCAAAAACTCTTGAAACCACGTGTATCTCTATCAACACAACATGAACAAGAAGCTAAAGTGACAAATGTGTCAACATCATCTTCATTTACATCCTCATTTTCTTCTCCACCTTCATTCTCGTCATTACCAGAAACAGCTCCTTCTAAACCACCACAGCCACATTCTGCTCTGAGCTCGCCGCAGAGATATAATCGAAAATATGACTTGCTTGTGTGCCACAGTCATGCTGACACTGAAGTGGCTAATCGCCTGGTGTCTTTCCTGGAGACTTCACCTCACAGTCTTAGGTGTTTTCTATGGCAGAGGGATGTCGGCCCAGGAGGTGCAATCTTCACAGAGTTCTGCCAGGCTGTGCAGGACAGCCACCTACAAGCTCTGCTTATCACTCCTAACTTCCTGCAGGAAGATTTGTGCACGTATATGATGCACCAGACTCTAGCAGAAGGCCCTATGTCCAATCGACTGATCCCCTTGGTCTATAACTTGTCCCACTCCCAGTACCCCCAGGAACTGAAGTTCTATGTTTACATTAACCTGAGCAATAACACTTGCCGAGGCTATACTCGCATCAACCAGACTGTGCTCGATTGTGAGTAATGACAAAAAATCTTGTTTGCTGGTCCAGCTCCATAAGCCCCAAGTTAAAAATTAGATCTGCTGATATACTTTTCAGTCATGGCAATTTAACATCCCATCTGTAAAGAGTTTCTGGAGGTGTATTAACCTCTGATAATATCTTCTTCTTTTCCTCTCCAGACCTTGAAGGCTTGGTTAAAAAAGAGGAGACAAATGATCGCAACATGGACAGCTCTAGCAGCAAATTAAGTGAGACAGATGAGCTGCTGCCAAAGACACACCAGGCTGAGACTTCACTTTCTCTGGAATTGATGCCGAGGAGAGATGAAAGGTTGAATGACATTTGCTGTGATCATCATCAACAGTAACTGGAGAACATGATGAAGGTCAACGGGCTCTGAATGGAAAACCGTTCTGCTATTGACTGTACTCAACTTTAGTGGTGCTTATATCATGTTATGTTGTGATTACAAGGAAAGGTAAGCTACTTGATCAACACTTGGTGTATAGGAGGTTGTGTGTGTGTGTGTGTGTGTGTGTGTGTGTTCTTGTACTATATATAGTACAAGTCCTATATAGTAAGGACCAGTCATATCAGATAGTTGCAGTTTGGACCACTCAATATAAAATATTGGGTAATCATTAAATTAGCTGGTGCATTATATTTTTGTCATTGTTTTGTATTAGTCCCTGATACCTACTATAGCTTTAACCCAACGCTACCACATGGCAGGTTTTCCTTACTAGTTTTAATTAACTTTAAAATCACTGGATGAATTCTAACCTGGAAGCTGTCCACTGAGGTTTGACTAAAATGGCTGTTTTTGATATAGACGAAAACATTTTTTTCTGATGATAACTACAGCAAGACAAAAGTGTGTTGCGTTTCTGGTGATTAAATCTAAACCACAATGTCATTTTCTATGACTAAGACAAGACTAAACTGGCAAGACTTGATTAAGTGGTACAAAAATAAAAGAAGATTTAGATAAAAAAAATTTAACTCTATTGCTAAATTTAAAAATAGATAATAAAATGAACCGCGGTTCAGTCTTGGAAACCCCCTGATCAGGCATTGCAGCACTTTCAGTATGATGCAAGAAGTGAAATAGAGG